CGCTTAACGACTGAGCCACCCAGGCACCCCGTCACTGAAGATTCTTAAGTAGACTCCTAAGCTCTCTGCTTTTCTTTGTGGATAGCTGCCTAACAATCTTCGTTGGCGGGATGGAAGCTGAGGTCTCTTACTTTACATCTTGGTAACGTCAACCTAACTTATATAAACATCTTGAATTTTACAGTAACTAATTATTCTTAGTTAACAATATCCAGTGCCCCTCCAAATGGGAGAGCTTGTAAAACCATCTGGAACAACTCCCCATCTGTGCTGGGACAGAAACTAAGACTCAGGAGGGTGAACTTGCCCAAGATCACAATTTTACTTGCAAGTCACACTTAAGACTCGAGATCAGGTCACTGAGGTAAAATAAAATGCACTCTCATTTGCTTTTCCAGCTGGTAAGATCTTGCTCAGGTCCTAGCTAAACTACTCTGAGCATAATTCAAGTTTTCTTGCTTGAATTAAAGGGCTCTAAGAGTCTGCTTTTAACCTGAGTCCTGTACTAGGTCAGCAGCCCATGCAAGGGAACAGAGGGAGCTGACCAGGTCCCACGGAGTGCTGGCCCCTGAAGTGAAATCCAGGGATGTTTTCCTGTCTCTAAACATGGGGGACTGCATGTAACAGGGAAGACTATTGATGCAACAAGGTAGCCATAACAGTAATGAGTACCTGGTAGGAGGTGGATCAGTAGATAACAACATTTATTTTCCCAAGAGCGACTGGATTGAGTAGTTAAAACTTGTATTCATGAACAATTTTGTTTTCTGTTTTTAGGCTTGTCCCCAGGGCTTTCTGACATTTCAGCTCCCTCCTTCCCTTTCACCCACACACCCGACCACTACTCAGTCATTTCAGCCAGACAGAAGGGAAGCTTTGATGAGAAGAACACAGCATAGTTTACATATCTGGGGTATGTACTACACTTTCTTCAATACGGCCTGCCGGGAATTCAGCCTGTGCCTGACTCACATCCCACCCTCCCCCCACTCCCTACGGGACAACAACAGAAGCAGGACAGGCTTCTCTGTTCTCTGTTTCTGTCTCCTTCACGTTCACACGCCAGTCACATAGCACAGGAGAGAAGAAAATCTCAGCTACAACTGAATGGATGGGAAAAAGGAGTCCGCATCTTATTCCAAACCAGAGAGCCTGTCAGAACAGGGAGGCAAAATGACAGAGAAACCAAGTTGCATCCTGAATTTGCACAGTGTGCCAAGTTGCCTACTACATTATTCCCTATCTTGGATACTTTCATCCAGAAGATTTTTATGTTTTAACCCTGGTGTCGCTATATGCCCCATAAACCTGGGGCCTGAGTCCCCCAGATACTCTTTTCATCCAGTCAATGTATCAAATACAGCAAGTAAGTGTTTGATAAATGATGCAAAATGATGAAAAAGGAATTTTGCCTGTGATTCATGATTTTATCAAGGGAGAAATAAGGTAATTTCTAATCCACTTAGCCACTGAAACCCTAGCCAGATATCCAGGTATATCCCTTCAATCTCCTCTTTCCTGCTTGGCTCCAGGATTCCTCATTCTTTTCATAAAAGTTCTCCCTAGTCACAAATGATCCTTTAGCTCTACATGGTAATCAAGAGGCATAAGCACTGATTCTGTCTTATTTCTTACAACCTCTTTAAATAGCCTATATTAGCGGAAGACCTCTGCCATTTAAAGCAGCAGCTCTAGCATATGGTTATGGCTTCTTATTAAATAATGCAAAGCCAATTCAAAAAGAGCTCTGTTCAATTTACTTGCCCAGCCAGACAGTCCTCTAGGGGGTCAAACTTCATCATTCTTCACTCCTCCTCTCTAGAAAGCTTGTTTCTTTTAAGGTACAGACGTAGCTATCAGGAAAAAGCAGTGTGGATCTCCTGCTAAGTACCTACGGCGGGGCCGTCTTCCGGTCAGAGTACAGGGGACACACTGCCCATCGGCTTCACGAGGGGAGGGACAGTGTCTTGCAGTCTTGCTCTATCTCCTCGTCGTGTCTGCCCCACAACAGGCACCCTCAATATTGGTTGAGTGAATCAATGCAGTGAACAATAAATAAAGTAGTAAATCAAGGAGCTGCAGGAATCAAATTCAGGTTACCAGGCCAGTTATGGAAACACTAAGATCAGGATTCCTGCACGGAGGAAGCCCAGGATTGCGGGGGCTACAAACTATCCAAGACTCTTAGATAGGGGGCTATGTATAGTGAGATCACCTTGTTACTAGCCTTTGTTACCCACTCTCACTCACACCTTATAACAAATACATGAAATGTTGAAAACGATAATCCCTTGGTCAGAAGTTTAGTGCTAACTGGACCTCTGAAGTTATCAGCAATGACTGGGACTTATTTCTGGCCGACTTTATGCCAACACAGTTTACACACATTAACATGATCATGTTGTTGAGCAACAACCCTTCAAGGTGGCCATTAATTTTCTTTAATTTCAGATAGAGAAATTACATGCAGAAGATTAAACAGCTTACTGAAGTCAACTGGCTAAGGTTAGCATCTGGGATTCGAACTTGCTTCTGGGACTCAGTTCCTTCCCCTACCCACAGTGCATTTCACCAAATCAAGCAGCATGCCAAACACCTAGCCAAACAGAATTTGTAGTTGTTTTTTTTTTTTTAATTTCTAAATTGTGGGAAAAAACCACACAATATAAAATGTACCCCCTTAACCATTTTAAGTACACATTTCTGTAATGTTAACTGTATTCACATGTTATGTAACATCTCTAGAAATTTTTCATCTTGTAAAATTCAAACTCTATACCTATTAAACATCACTCTTCATTTCTCTGTCCCCAAAGCCCCAGGCAAGCACCATTCTGCTTCCACTTCTATGATTTTGACCACTCTAGATACCCCATAGAATAGTGGGATCATATAGTATTATACTTTTGTGACTGGCCTCTTTCACTCAGGATGACGTCCTTAAGATTCATTCCTGTTGTAGGATAGGACAGCATTCCATCCTTTGTAAGGCTGAATAATACTCCATCACATGTATACATAACATTTTCTTTATTCATCTGTCGATGGACACTTGGCTTGCTTCCACCTCTTAGCTATTGCGAATAATGCTGCAATTGAACACGAGTGGGCAAATATTGCTTCACGATACTGCTTTCAATACTTTTGGGTAAATACCCGGTAGAGGAACTGCTGGATGGTAGGGTGGTTCTATTTGTCACTTTCTGAGGAACCTCATATGTTCTTCCATAGTAGCTGCCCCATTTTCCATTTCCACCAGCAGTGTGCAAAAGTAGACAGATTTGTTTTTAAATAGAATAACTGTCAGTTTAATGTCAAACTGACCAAACAGCCCAGACTGTAGTGTCAAGCAGTGACTGAATTCTTAAAAATCTAACTCAACTAAAACTCTAGACCTTAGGCCTTAGTTTTTATAATTAAAGCCACACACCACTTAAACATGTATTGCAGATTTATAAATATGGATCAGCATCCCATTTTAGGACAAATAACTTTAGCAGTCATTTTCTCAGAGACTACAACAAATGAAGGAAAAGTAAAGCCAGCGTTGAGCTCGTGTGAAGGTATCAGAAGAATTCTTACTTCCTGAGAAGAAGTATAAGCATGTACACAAATTGCACTCTTACCCTCGTTTTGGCATCAATTTTAGCTCCTCGGTCAAGCAATAGTTTTACCATATTGGCATTTCCTCTTTTTGATGCAACGTGTAAAGGCGTGATGTCATTCTGTAGGAGAACAGAAAAGAAGTATAGTTTCGGTATCTTTAGTTCAACCAAAACACCGCTTCCTCAACTTCCCTCAACATGTTCTCACTTTTTAATTTTCTTTTTAACAGCCATTGTGAACAGAATACTTCCCAACATTTCTGAGAGTAATTTTACTCAGTAAATTTACATCCCAACATTTCTGACAGTAATTTTACTCATCCCTCCCAAAAAGGGATGAATTTTAAGGAACACAGTCTGTGGGGTTGGGTCCAACTTTATTTCATTTGACTGAAGTGACTGGTGATGAGACGGCTTTATTTTTATTTTTATTTTTTTTGCTCTAAAATCCTGCAGCGTTAAGTCAACGTGTTGTCTTACAAGCTTGCACGATCCTATTGGGTAATGAGTGGTTGACTAAGTGGCTGATTACATTGGCTGAGACTCAGTGAAAGGAGTATCATGTTACTCAGAGCCATCTTTGGGTTCATTTGAGCACAAGATATCAAGGAGAGACAACAGCAACTCCAAGTAGGAAACTGGTCAGTACCAAAGTCACAGGACTGCCCATGCACGTGGGGCTTTTAAAATATGTTCACAGGCATTTATTAGGAATGTCACAGAAAACTGTTTTTGAAATTCCCATTGAGGAATACACATCTTGTTAGGACAATCTGAAATTCCAGTCATGACCCCTCAATACTACAGGTCTTCCCTCCATGCATCTTACAGGCACTATGGCTGTTTCCAGACTGTCAGGGAAGTGTGTGTATACAGTGAAAACATTATCTATTTTGGCTCCTTACTCCTGTGTAGCAACAATATGGATTTAAGGTCCATTGTTCACATAAGTCAATTATAGGATGCATAATCTCAGCTTGTAAGGGGTTATGTTCTTGTCGTTTGATAGCAAATACAATGTCACAGCTCCCAGGTACTGATCATTCCCGTGTATTAGGCACTGTGCTTAACTCTTTACTGTCTCATTTAATTCTCATAATCCTCACAATGCCATAAACAATCTGACTTATAATGTCTATTTTACCAAAACACAAATAGCTGGCAAAACCAGGATTCAAATTAAAGTATGACTCAGCTTGGGTTTTTTAGAAAACAACTTATGATGAAAATTTTCAAACAGATACACAGTTTGAAAGAAAGGCATGAGCTTCATGTACTTATCACTATGGTTCAATACTTATCAACCTTTTGGTGATTTTATTTCTTCTATGCTCCCTGCTATTTTGTGTGTGTGTGTGTGTGTGTGTGTGTGCACGCAGAAATTTAAGAGAAGGAAGAGAAAAATCCTAGGCATATTATTTCACCCACAAATACTGCAATTTAACTCTAACAGATAAGGATTTTTTTAAACAAGTCATCACAACACCATTATCGTATTTAACAACCTAAAAATAATTCCTTCATAACACCAAGACCCTGTCAGTGTTCAAATTCTCCCATTATGTCCAGTTAGCTCAGCAGAGTTGTTCAAATTAGAAGAGCCACACCTGCATTAGTTTGAAATGTCCCTTACGTCTCTTAATCTCCGTAGGTGCCCAACTCCACGTTCTTTTGTCCATGACTATTTATTTATTGAAAAAACTGAGTAATTCATTGTGTAGACTTTTCTAACCTCCAGATTTAGCTGCTTTCATCCTCATGGAGTGTTATTGGATATGTTCTTTTGCCCTGTATTTTCTTAAGATTTTTATTTATTTATTTGAGAGAGAGAGAATGAGAGACAGAGAACATGAGAGGAAGGAGGGTCAGAGGGAGAAGCAGACTCCCTGCCGAGCTGGGAGCCCGATGCGGGACTCGATCCCGGGACTCCAGGATCATGACCTGAGCCGAAAGCAGCCGCCCAACCGACTGAGCCACCCAGGCGCCCTGCCCTGTATTTTCTATAAACTTTTCTAAATATTATAAACTATAATGCTCCTAGCATTACATTCTCCTATCTGAACAACTCTTGCCCTCATCATTCTTAGGTGCCAAAGTATCAATTGATTCATTACATGAAAGCAGAAGAAAGACCTCAGGAAACCAAATTTGCTTCAGTAATGCTGGTGGGGAGTACACAGGATGAGTATCATGGCTCTAGACCAGGGTAGACAAACTTTTTCTGCATAGGGCCAGATAGCAAATATTTTCAGCTTTGCAAGACATACAAGTTCTATTGCAACTATTCAGTTCTGCCATTGTAGGGCTAAAGCAGCCATATGAAATATGTAAAGAAATGGGAATGGTTGTGTTTCAATAAAACTTTATTTACAAAAACAGGCGGTGGGCTGGATTTGGCCTGGGGATGGTAGTTTGCTGACCCTGCTCTAGATCTACCAGGCTACAGCTGAAGGTTTCAACTATGTGTAACAGTTTACAAAAGAGGAAGTAGAACTCTATGCTGTGCATTGTGTATGCTTTGGTCCCCTTTGGTGTGAACTATTTTTGGTGTGAATGAAAGCTGGCAGAAGGAAACAAAATTCCTGATGACTTTTTAACTGTCTTGCTTGTCTCCATTGTCCGAGTGCAGACCCAAGCAGCACAGTGGGTGAATTCTAGACCTGAGACAGCAGGTGGAGAGGCAGGTTAGGTCTGTAGGAAACATGGTCTAAAGGAAGCTTACTGAGCCCAGAGTAGGAGATGGTGCAAAGATCTCATCCCTCCCCGGCGGGAGTCAGGGCTTACATGTGATTTCCCTTTAAAACTGTGCCCTTGCCTGGTTGAGAAGGACTTAATTAACCTCCATTACAAGTAGGCTAATTTTAGTGAGAGAAAGACTCCACTTCTAATTTTGCTCTCTTCCATATTCATGTATTCTCTCATATGGTGATACATAGATGTCAAAAGTTGCCTTGAAATTCTAACTCCCACGTTTTTCTACACCTCTCTGACCCTAGAGGAATACTTTATATTTCTATAGCACTTAAAAAGTGTTGTAAAGGGCTTACACTTACATAATTTCATTTTATCTTCACCACCCTCTATTGAACTAAATCACTAATCCTATTTGACAGATAAATGGGGGAACAGAACTGGTCAGTAATTTGTATATTAAAAGACAGTGAATTAGAGGCAGAATCGGGATGAGAATTCAGTTTTCTAGACTCTTGGGCAGTGGTCTAGAAACAACTATTGCTTCTCCTCTCTGTCAAATGGAGCTTCTGAATGAAATACATACTTCTGTGTTCCTGAATCTGGTAGTGACTGCTTCTGTCAATTAGGAACAAATCAAAATGAAAGTGGTACCCCTAGACCACTCAATGGCACATTTATATTCTGCTTCATTGGTTAACCAATAAAAATGTTTTATGTCCTACTATGCACATGACCCAGTGCTATACTTCCATTGTATAAGTCCACAACAAAAATATGGAATCCCAGCATATCAAAAGAGCCCAGTGATGTTAGAGATGAAAATGCATGCTTAAGAGAACCCTCATTTGCTGCTCGTGAAATGTAAACTTACACATGCTTTCTGGGATGCAATTTGGCAGTATATATGAAAAGCCTTCAACTCTAAAACCACAGATAAAAGGCAGAGGTTGATTGCCATAGTCGAAAAGGTGGGAATGTTAAGAAAGACCCAACCCTGGGGCGCCTGGGTGGCTCAGTCGTTAAGCGTCTGCCTTCGGCTCAGGTCATGATCCCGGGGTCCTGGGATCGAGCCCTGCATTGGGCTCCCTGCTCCTCGGGAAGCCTGTTTCTCCCTCTCCCACTCCCCCTGCTTGTGTTCCTGCTCTCACTGTCTCTCTCTCTGTCAAATAAATAAATAAAAATCTTTAAAAAAAAAAAAAAGAAAGAAAGAAAGAAAGACCCAACCCTGAGGTCTAGGCACACATCTAAGACTGTGGCTGATCCAGAACGAAAGAACCCTCAGTCCCAGCACAAGCCTAGCATAGAGTAACAAGCAAGAGTAGTAAGCTGCTGAGGTCAGATAGGAGCTTAGTGAGAGACCTCCTCCATGCTTCACGTGTGCAGGGAGAACTGAGGACGGAGCACCCACACCACATAACATTCTCTGACCCCCCCCCACCCCCCCCTGCCACTACCCTGAGCATGAGGCAGTGTAGCCCTCCTCTATAGGGAGCTGAAGTCCCCTCAAACAAGATGTAAACTCCGCTAACTCTTGACTACACTGACTCAACCTTCCACATGTACAGCCTGATAGAGAGGTATGCCCATTTTCACACAAAGACACTACTGACCTCAGTCTCTCTTGCATTCTGTCCAGTGGAACAAGTGAGCTACAGGTATCAAAAGTTAGGGAATTTCACCAAAGACATGGGATTTCAGTCAAATAGAAACCCTCGGTAAGAAAAACCACAATATAAGAAACATAGAATTCCTTGGATGGGCTCATCACTAGACTTCACACAGCTAAGAAAAGCATCAGTGGGCTTAAAGATACATCAGTATAAATGATCCAAACACAAAGAAAAAAAAAAAGAGTGGAAAAGAAAGAACAGAGTCTAAGGGCTGGGGGACAGTATAAAACAAATGATTGGAGTTACATAAGAAGAGAGGAGATGGGGCAGGAGAAATACCCGGAGAGACAATGTTCAAGAATTATCTCAAAATAATGAAATGTATGAAACCACATATCCCAGAAGCTTGGAGAACTTCGAGCAAGATAAACTATAAACAACCAAATGTCAGTCAGACACATCAGTCCAATTGCTGAAAATAAAAGATAAAGGAAAAATCATGAAGGTCACTAGAGGGGAAAAGGACATATTTCATATAGAGAACAAGGACAAAAATGACAGCCTTAGAAATTATGTAATGCTGACAACAAAGTGGAATCTTCAAATACTGAAAAGTTAACACCTGTCTGATGAGACTTCTATACCCAGTGAAAATATCTTTAAAAAACCGAGGAGAAATAAAGACTTTTTAGGATAAACAGAAACTGGGAGATTTCATTACCATCAGACCTGTAATACAAAAAATATTAAAGGAAGTTCTTTAGGCAGTGGGAATATGATGCCAGTCAGAAGCTTAGACCCACACAGAGAAACACA